TAATATTCATAGACATATGACTTTCCCCATTTTATTCAGACTTTATTTGCATATGACTTCTGCAAAGTGTAAATAGTTTTCCGGAAAGATAACGGAAGCGGTAGCGCACTGCGCAGTTGATATGTCATAATTCTAACATGAGCGTAACGCCATAATCTTAATTAAGAACCAGTTAATGCATACGTCATATACATCTGTAAATATTTAATAATGCATACGTATATAGCTGCTTATTTTGACATAAATTTATGTGGCTCACTCGCGCAGATTATTCGCAAGCAGAATAAGATGAGGACTTAGCTGCAATTTCGTTATTAATTTGTGCTACATTCTCCGAGAGCGTCGTCGATGAGCGTGACGGGGATATAACGTGGAATAACGCGGAATCTTCGCGCGCGCAAAGTCGCGAGATTTATCCCAAATCCGAAGAGCTTATTATGAACGAAGCGGGACATTATTCCGCGGCATAATTAGCCGTCGTCGCGCGCGAAATTCACCGCGCCAGCAATAAATACACACCAGTCGGATCTCTCCGCGTTGGTCAAAGCTAAACGCGCTTCTCACCTGCATCTTTGACGCGATATTTCATTTGTGTTCCGATAAGCGGCAAATAAAATTAGAGTTCGTGAGAGCGCATTCAAGCCGGCGGAAAATTTCTTTTGCGGTAGGGATTCTGGGATTCTTCCGATATCGCGCGTCTCTCGCGCGAAGACACATGGTTTCGATAAAACGGATTGCATCGGGAAAAAGAGGTGGTATATCTTTGAAAAAAAAAAAGAGGAACGAGGAGATGGAAGGAAGAAAAGGGGGATAAAAGCGAGGAGCGTCGGTGCAAATTTATGTTCCGCACGCATGGGAATTTATAGACCGCTAATTGGGGGTGGAATTGGGTGGGAGAAAAAAAAATGGGTGACGAAGGGACAGAACGCGGAGTGAGAGGCGAGGAATATCTGTGCTGCGCAACTTTTAGGATTAATTCCCGAATAAAATGGTCGGCCGCACGCCGCCATTCTCACGCGGCGCCAACAGGCAGATTCTGTGGAAGAAGAAGGCGGCGCTGTCGGTTAACGTTTGTCGAGCTAATTAATTAGCAGCTGGTAAATTTTCGCTCTCGTTCTCTCCGTCGCTCGATGTCGGGATGTCGAAATTAATCCTTTCTCTAAAGAAAGAGCGGCAATCTCGAATATTATCCATTCAACAGTCATCAAAACGTTCCCGAGTAAACGTTGCCGAGCCACTTTATTCTCGTTTTTAGCTGCATATTAATTTCATAGGCGAAACCGAAAATCGGACGAGCATTTATGCTCCAATTACTTTCAACATTTCTGCGTTCTTCATTTTTATTCAAATTACTTTTGAACTAATTTTAATTTAATTTTATATATATAATTTATCCCCCTTTTTCTTCTTTTTATTTTTATTTACTTTAAATACTTCAATAGTTCTCATTTTTCACAAATTTTTCCATAAATCATTTACATTATACAGAAACTGTAACATTTTACGTTTAGATCCTATTAACTCCGTGCGCCGCCGGAAGCCGCTTCGAATTCGTGCGGAAACTCTGCTAAACCACAAGCGCGCGATGCAAACTTCAATAAAATTGCTCGTAAAATTATTAGTAGATACGGTCGGTACTATCGCCGTGCCCACGACGATGTCCCGATCTGCTTTACGTTGCAATTAAACTTACACGTACGACGCACCGGGGTGTAACTGAACTAACTGTAAAAGTTTGCGCTTGAAGGCCGCCGTCAAAAATGGAAGCAGAATTAAGGACGGTGGTACGTGAAAGAAACGAGGGCGCAATAAAGCGAGGTTTAACACGGTCGTAAATTCCGCCAAGATCAAACACGCGTAGCGAGAGAAATACTCAACGTTTAATTATTTGTCCCGACAAATTGTTTGCGAGAAACAATTTTGCGAAACATTTTAAAAATTCGCAAATTTGCTACTACCAGCATTCCTTTTTTCGAAGAATTTGAGTGTTATAAAATAATTTTATTCGCGATATATATTTTCGAATTTTTTTTTTTTTCGTGAAATATATTTGAAGGCGGGGTGTTTAATATTGCTGCAAAATTGTGGGAAAAAATTCTTATCAAACTTATTTTGTTTTTGAAAGAAATTTCTGTGAAGCAACTAATGATTTCACAATGATTTCTTTTAGTTTTAAATTGTGATCCGTTTTGAACGCGTGCATCACTTAACACCGAATCGAAAGCTCTCGCGTTTATGAACATTCCCCGAAGTACAATTTACTTCTGCGTCGTGCACTCGAGTTACTCCGTCCGAATTGTTGCGATCATCATCCGCCGCTGAAGAACTATATACGTTTTGTAGCTCGGTTTTCACTTCCTGCTTTTACCGTTTTTCAGCGCGTCGTATTTTTGAGGTCAAGACATCGCGGTGAAATGTTACATCGTTCAAGTATAGCATATTCCGTGATTGCGTTTCCTCGCGAAAGTAGCGCCGCAGTTTGCGCTCGGGGCTTGTATTTGTCTTCTGCTTGTTTATATCGGTTATTCCGAATCGCTTTTACCAAGCATCTCCATTAAAGATGTGTGTGTGCACCGTGAAAAGTGCTGCGCGAGAGTGCCGTGTGTATTTCTCATGGCAATCTCGTCTGAAACCCCCCCGATAAAAGGTAATAATAACAGTCGCTACGCTCGCTGTACCAATAATCGAGACTTAATATCACGATACCTTTTATTTTATTTTTTTTTATTTTATTTGTTAATTAAAGCTATTTTCGCATCCGCCGTAATAAAACTATAATAATATATTAAAATATTCATTGATGATAAAGTTTCATAATTCATTGTCTTACATTAGATGGCTTGAAACTCATCTTCAATTAAGCGCATGTTTATAGAGGAACTTCTTTACTTGCAATAACCAAATAATTAGTTTGCTACTTACGTCCAAGAATTTAGTTACATCCAGCAATTCTGCGCGCACTAGGAAGCGTTACGATTTCCCGTTTGTCCGCGTCGTGGAAATTTCGTTAGGATACTCTGCTCGAGAGAAGTTATTTTTACGAAGTCAGATTTAGGAACCTTGCCGTGCGGACGCCGCGCTTTAATCTACATCGAAATTCTAATGCGGCGCGTTTCTTTAGCATTTTATGCTAATGCCTGCCGCGTCGTATCCTTTAAAGTTCACTTTGACAGCTTTACCGGCACCGGCAGCTGATGAAAACGACGACCGGTCGCAAGACGCATTTCGCACATGCGAAGAGCGCGATTTTATTCTTAAAGTGATTAACAGATTTATGCAATTTTTTATTAAATAATTTTTGTAAATACTTTTATGGAAATTTTGGAAGAAAGGAATATTAGCTTAAACTTTTCAAAGAATACATTGAGAGATATATTTTATATGAGTATTTAATGTTAAAAGGACTGAAGTTAATTGTTTATTTGAAATATACCATAGCAAATGATTATTAATCACGCAAGTTATCTGCAATCATTACTCGACAAACTTGTGCGTGAATAAAAAGAATTTTGGAAATTATTACAAGGAGAAATCGCACGATTCTCATTACTACAATTTCTTTCGCGCAACCTTCCAGCATTAGGGTCGAACGTACCGGGTGTTTCACTGGGTGAGACTTGGAAAGACAGGGCTTCTTTTAATAACCCAGCAGCGCCATCGTCCATTATACGGCTCTCACTTACAAAGTATAATGTCTCCTCGTTTTTGCGCTCAGTATGCGTCCAATTTTAATACTCTTGCATCTATTTTCGTTTGCCCTCCCGCATTTCTCTCCGTTTTTCTTCTGACGCTTGCTTTCTGCTTCTCCGCCTCAAAGAAATCATTTTCCATTCCGCTTCATCACGCTCAACAGACACGCTCAGCAGAGAGAGAGAGAGAGAGAGAGAGAG